TCCCAGAGTATTGGGATTCCAGGCATGTGCCACCATTCCCTGTGACATTCTTTTTGAGATAACCATTTTTATTAAATTCCAATTCCCACAGCTTTTAATCTGGTTACAAAATTCAGCAGTATGAAGTCTAAAAAAATTTAAAAAAAGAAATCTCCCCCATATTTGACTTTGGCTTAGCCTTCTCATTTTATATCTGCAAAATATAAACTCAGCTTCTCACCCACCTATTTAATGCTATCTTATCCCTCTTATTAGACATACCTGGCCATGAAAGGGAGGGGACTTTCACCTAGATTTGGACAGTAGGTCCACACTGATTTTTCAACCATTTCTAGGCATCTCCACCCCACCGATGAGTATTACTGCTCCATTCACAGCTAAATTTTTGCTACCCTCCGCCATCAATGCTGAGGTACTTCCATGACCCACAGGTGTGGAGAGGTCTCCGTCATTTTTAGCCGATGGGGAGAAAAGGGCATGTGTATGCTATGAGCATTACTCCTGTTGTCACAAGCTTAAGAGGCAGAATAACAAAACTAGAAGAGCAAGGCCTTGAAGTCAGGCAAATCTAGCCTTAAATCCTAGTTTGTGCCTCTCTAGCTGAGTGACCTTGGGTGAGTTATTTGACTTCTTTGAACAATGAGGATAATGACAGTATTACTTCATAGGTGTGTTGTAAAGATGAAACGAGATAATATCTGATAGACACCTTGTTTCGCATCTGCCACTTGCAAGATTCTCCAAATATATGATGTCTTGTTACCTTTGCAGCTCTAGGCAGATCATGCAGCAGCAAAACATTTCTAACAGGCATTGTTAGGAGAGGCTTCTTACTGTATTTTTAACCTTGTACAAATGCCAAATAACCAGTCTAGCCAATAATTTTCAAATTACATTAGAGAAGAGGGTTATGTCCAGGTCACAAGACAAATTTCTTTTATTTTTGCTGATGGTTTTCCTTTTTTAAACTTTTATCTTCATTAGGACATATTTATAATACACAATGATTACACTCGTCGTGAGCAGATGGTACACACAACACATCTTAAGCTTTACATATCCCCTTCCCCCTTCTAAGGTTTTCTTTACAGTACCAAGGTTTTTCTTATTATGCTATTTGGTCTTGAGCACAGTTTCAAAAATTGAAGATTAGAGATACTCTCCAAGCATTTCATGGCTGTGAAACAGCATTATATTTTGTTATCTATACTGCTCATTGACATGTTACAATTATTAGCATTTTACGAGGTTTGGTAAAGAAAAAATCAGCAGTATGGAAGTAGTATTTATTGAAATAAAACACAAACAACATAGAAGAACAATGCTTGTACCGCCAAAAAGGGGTTTAAAGGGAACTGGTAAACAAGGATCCTTGCACGGGAGGCCTGTACTTTGCCCTAAGTGAAGCATTAAGGAACTGTGAAACTTTTGTCGATAGTCCCGAATGCAGACTTCCTGTGCAGGAGAGCTTGGCCAGGTTGGCCGGAATCAGCTTCAAGGTGCTGCTTAGAGACAGGTATGTAGTGTGGGGCGCCTGAGCCAGAGCTGCGGAGATAGGAACGTATTACATGCATTTTTTACTTGGATGCATGTGGTCTTTAGACACCTGAGATCTGTGTGCGCTTTTCTATGAATGAGGGGCTTGCAAGTAACCTGGCAAGGGAGAAGGGTGCGAGGAAATGAATGAAAGCCTGAGGAAGCCACTCTTGTTTATATGGCCTGTGCAGGGGACGCAGTGATGCTAAGTGTCTGACCTCTGCTTTACATCAAGAAAATGGACTTTATGTTGCAACAGGAGAGGTGGGTTAGAGAGTAAAAAATTAGCCTATGGCAAAAGTTGAGAGACCAAAATATTTATGAAATGAAATTTGTATGTGTTTTCTGATTGCGTGTGGAAAAAATAGTTAACGTTTAATTTCCAGTGTGATGGAGAAGATTTGATTGCCGTTTCCTTCTCTCCACATTTCTCTGTCTCTCTGTGTCTCTGCTTCTCTCTTTTTCTCTTTTTCTCTCTCTCTCCCCCCACCCCAGACCATATCGGGTCACATTAATCCCGATCAATACTAACGCTGTAAAATGGCAAACATTGCTTTTAAGAATACATTTCTTTTTAAAAATCGAGGTGAAGTTCACCATTTGCACCGTTTTAAAGTACATAATTTGGTGACTTTTAGTACCTTCGCCGTGTTGCATAACCACTGCCACTATCTTGTTCCAGAACATTTTCACCACCCTAAAAGGAACTCTTGTACCCATTAAATAGTCATTACTTATTCATCCCTCCACTCAGCCTCTGAAATCAGCTCTGCTTTCCTTATCTGAGAATTTGCCTTAGGAATATATTTCTTTGGGACTTTTCTGAATTCTGCATTTAATTTCTCCCCTAGAAACTGCAGACTGCTCTGCATATCTGTATTTGTGTGACAGAGAGGTGGGACAGGAATGTGAGGGCATACTGTGAACATCAGTATTCTTGAGAAACTTCTCAAGGTCAGATTATTTGCAATATTCAAACAAAAGGAAGGACCCAGAGGCAACTTATCTTTCAGAGTTAGATGTCTGTGACTTAACGTAGACATCTAAATTTAAAGTTTTGAGGGTCTAGTCAGTCTAGATTATAGAAATGGTGAACAATTCTTGGAATTTATCTATAATAGTGAGAAAGACCTGACTAGAAAGTCTGGCTTTACAGCTCCCACTAGGGTATGAAGTTCCATGCCTGATAGAATCGTGTCCTAAATCTGAGCTCTTCCTACAGGAGCTGGTGACAGCCCTACTGGCCCCTCCTCGGAGGAGGAGCAGAGTAATGATTCTTTACTCTGTCTCGGTCAAGGTTAGCATATCAGAAACAGTCAAGGAGACTGAGGGTCCAGGTTGGTAAGGGAAAACACAACTTAAAAAATAAAATAACGCCCCATTTATTTTCTAACCATAAAAACTTATCAATTTTGTATTAGAATACACTAATATAATTTATTCTGGCTGGAATTTTAAAAGGTTGGTTAATCTATTCACAGCTTTGAAAAATGTTGACCACAAGTTGAAAAATGTTCTTTCTCTTGAGCTTCTATTGTCTTTTATAAACTGACTTAATACTAGCATGGCTTTGTTAGTTATGATCACATCAACAGAAAAGTTGTATATGTTGTATTTTGGGGAACATACTAATTACTTCTGGAAGAAATTTTCCTTTTCAACTTTAAAGGAAAATATTTCCTTTTACTATAGAATGTCAAGACCAGGAAATTTCTGTCACTTTGCCTTGGCGTGCATTTGGTGGCTTTTCATTCCACTTTTCATTTTCAACTCTTTTCCATTTCCTTAGCCCCAACAAATGTCTTCGGCCAGTCACATTAATTAGGCTGCGTTAGTGTTGTGGGTCTTGCTTCTCTTCCCAAAGTGTCTTTCCCACTTGCTTCCCTGTCATCTCCCATCTGTCCTCTGTGCCTTTCTTTCCTGTTTAGCTTCCGGGACCTCCTGGGTCACAATGGAGAACAGAGACTCCATCCACACCTTGAAGTACAAATTGCCTCAGCTTCTCTTTCCACAAATACTTTTCAGTGTTTATGATAACTTAAAGATTTCTTGAAACCACTGGAACCTCCAGAAGCTGAAGGTAGCTTTCTACGCCAAAGGCTGGCGGTAATCAACCTAGAGCACCTGGCAGTCTTTGTTACTGAGATCCACTGTGCCGACCCTGCCAAGTGCCATCAATCCTTGTGCCTTGCTTAGGGGCCAATCAACCAAATTCATCTATACCAGAAACTGCAGAATGTGGAAGAAAGAGCTTAATTTCCCAGTTGCCTCCTTTTAAAGCCGTGTCTAAGTATACTTTGGTTTACTTCTCAAGCAGGAATGGGTGCCCAACCCTACCCTGCAACTTTAGCAAACCCAGACTCCTGAGTGAAGAGAAAGAACTTGAAAGTGTGTGAAAAGTTGGAGAGAGAGAGAGAGAGAGAGAGAGAGAGAGAGAACACTTGAAAAAGGATAAAAGCAGTCAGTAGCAGCAAACTGTAAATCCCATATCTCTACCCTGCAGACCACATCCCAACGAATCCAGCTGCACCCCGCCCTTAGACCTTTGGGGCTCCTGATTGAGAGTCCTGATACAGGGCATATATTCAAGAGTGGTTTCCTTCACGCTGGGCGTCATTCGGGCCTATGCTCCACAGGAGGAGTCTGCTTGGAGTTTCAATGTTTAGGATCACTCCTGGGGTCGGGGCGCGATTGATAAAGGTAAAGTAACCAACAGGCAGCCACAAGGGACAGGTTTAGACTAGGGACATCAGCAGGGCACAACAGGGGTCACCTGAGGCTTTTTTTGTCATTTAACCGCCCCCTCTGGCAAGCCACCAGATGGCTTTCTCGGGACAGGAATGGACCCGAGGAGCCCACGGGGAGGAGCGGTCTCCTGCATCCCGGGCGTTCGGATGGAGAAGAGGGAAGAGCCGCGCGCCCAGGAAGGTGCAGAGGCCACGCCGGGCTTCAGCATGCGGTCCAGGCTGCAGGCCGGGCGAGGCCCCGCCGGGGGGAGCGGGTGGCTCCCCTGCACCGAGGGCCGCCACCTTCCGAGCTGCGCCAGCCGCACTCTGATCTACAGCCCTTTCCTGCGCTTTGAAGCCGGGAAGCCCGCTGCGCCGTCGGGGAGGAAAACAGGCCCTGCCCGGCCGCCGGATGGGAAGGCGGGGACGCGCCTCCGAGACCGGAGCCAGTGCAGGCTCGCGAGGAGACGCCCCTAGGTCCCCAGCTCCCCAGCAACGCCCTCCGCTGTCCCGCGCCCCAGGCAGCCCGCGCCCAGCGCGCCCGCAGCGCCCGCAGCCCGCCCCGTGCGCGCGCGGCGTCTCCCGGGTCCCCGCGCCGCCCGCTCCCCACGCGCGCCCGCGGCCGGGGCGGCGCAGCTCAGGGCCCGGCGCGGCCTCGCGCGGGGCGGGGCCTGCTGAAGCCCCGCCCCCAGCCCTATAAGAGCGGCCCGGGGCGCGGGCCGAGGGGCGGCGGCAGAGCAGGGCTCGGGGTCTCGGCGGCCCGCGGAGCCTCTCACCGGCGTGCATAAGGCTTTGCCTTTCCGACTTCAGCTACAGTGTTAGCTAAGTTTGGAAAGAAGACCACGAGGAACCCCCCGGGCGCTTTCTGTTTTGCCCTTTGCCGTAGCTGTCGCTGGGGTCTCTCCGGACGAGGCTGCTGGGTCTGCATCGGTGCCATCGCCAGGTCCTGGGGCTCGGGTGAGCGAACACCTCACCTCGACAACGACGCGAGCGCCTGGTGTCATGACCCGAGCCGAGGAGCAGGGCCGCCGGGGAGGATGCTGCGGTGAGTGCCGCGGGGCCCCGGACAGGTGACCCCGCGCCTGGCCAGCTCTGGGTCGCACGACCGTGTCTCCTGCCGTGATAGGAGACGCCAAGGCCGTTCTGAAAAGGACAAGAGGGGCTGCTCACAGCAAGGACGCAGCACGTCGGGGAGTTTGGGCTTCTGTTAGAAGTTGAATTTTGAAACAGGTTTCTTCACTGCTTGAGAGTTTGTGCAATTACTGACCAACAGGTCTTGCTGAATTTAAGTCTGTGATATTATCGAAACAGTATACACCGAGTCTAGAGGACTTGATAAAATGTACCTGATTTGTCTTGCAGTGTAGTTTTTAATAGTCGTGTTGTAAAAGTAGATGGATAGGTATTTGAACTTCAGCTCATGCAGGTGACCAAATGTGCTTTGAAATCCTCCTCCTGTGTGTCTTTGCAGGATCCGTTGCAAAATACCTGACCTCGGCAAAATTCCTCCTCTACCTTAGTCATTCCCTCTCCACTTGGGTAAGTGATAGTGTACAGTGCTTTTTACAGTATTGTTGTAGTTTCTTGTTTACTTGTATTGCAACCAGTATTAAGCCTACTTCCAGTTTTGTCATACAGATAAGCAAATAAATCATCCAGAGACACATGCTTTAGTGAAAAAGTTATTTCCAAACAAGGTATTGGATGTTGTCTTTGGATGGATGTTAGTAAATTAATTATCATGTTATTGTACTTTGCATGCATTGACAGCTGTGCAAAGCAAGATTGACAAAGAGGGATGTTTGCTTTGTTTATAAATTGTATGTTGCATTACTATGCTCAGTAAATGGTAATCCCTGCTGCTAAGAATCAGAGGGAAGGTATTTCATATACCTCCTGTCATTTCACATTTTAAGGTACTTCTGTTTCCTTGTTAAATTTTAGTTTCTGCATGCAGCACCATGAAAGTTCAGGGGAATAGTGGAGTGACTGACTTAGTCTAGTAATAGCATTTTAAATTTAAATTAAAATACACATAGTCCCAAGATCAAATATTTGACAGGCAAACTTCTGGTCTTTAAAATGTTATCTGTAGTTACATAATGCGTGAGCACCACAAACTGTTTTTAAAACTATCTGGTGAAAATTAGAAAATCAATGACTGATTCACATGTCTCCTGACTTCTTATGTGGCTTTGGAAGAATCTCAGTATTCCTTTTGGCCTAGGTTTCTTCTGTTAACTCTCTCTGTAAAAGAATAATCCAGTAAGGGTACTGGTTGTGTGATCAATGTGATTAGACTTTTTAAAAAGTAAATTTTAAACAAAATTATTGTTTAAAAGATATAAAGTCTGTGCATGTCTTTGCATTGTTTAGAAGATATAAAGTCTGTGAATATAGTCTGTGCATGCCTAATATATGAACTTTAAAAGAACCATACATAAAGAGAAATAATTTTAAGAGTAATGTACGATGTTAATTTCTTTCTAAACTGGAAATTTCTGTCGGGTTACCCTTAAGGCATGAATGGAATCATTCCATGAGAGGAGCTATAATCTGTGCTCTTGGGAAATTATATCAAGTTATTATCTAAGAAACAGCAGCTCAGAGATGATTTTTCAGAATAGCAAACTTCCCTCTACTCAGAGGATTGTGCAAGGATGGCAAATAAATGTAAACAAAATGAAACTGGTATGAGTTTGCTTCAGTCCCCAAAGCTGATGAGTCTAAATAGAAACCCAGTGAAACAGCTCTTTATAAAACCAAGCCAGTCATTTGTTCTTCCAATTTAATTCATTTAGAAGTCAGTATTAAAAAGATCAACAATACGTAAGGGAAATAGTGTCTGAAACTCTCAGCCGGTGGTCTGGATCCAGCTCTTAGAGGAACAAGTGTCTTATTTCCGAATACTGATTGATTCAGGGTTTATGCAACCCTTGGTTGATTGGGTGACAGAGTTGCCAAAAGCATGAGTGGAGCTGTGGTCTTCTAGAAGGATTTTCTTTTTGTCTTTAAAAGGAATTTTGTTAAGGATCTTAAAAGAAAATTCCTTAATCAAGGTGACAGACAGGTGGTTGTCCTAACCTTACAGTAAGATGAGCAAAAGGAGTGTTTGTGAGAAAGTTGATTAAAAAAGCAAGAGCAGGGCTGGGAATGCAACTCAGTGGTAGAGTGCTTGCCTAGCATGCGTAGGCCCTGAGTTCAAACCCAAACCCAGTCACCAAACAAATAACAAAGACGCAAACCCAAACAAACCAAGAGCAATCACAGGCATGTAAGGGTCAGTGGATTTTTATGTCTCACTCTAAGGAGCACAAGAGAGGAATGCTTTCTAACTGTGGATAATTCCACTTAGCGTGCTTGGTCTCTTGTGTGGCACACCAATTTTTATTACAAACAAATTTATGTATGTGTTTCTATCCATCCCCCTGCCAATTGCACTAAACCAGGATTTCCTATTCATTGAACCATGGGCCTTAGGGTAGAAGATTGTCTCGGGTTAGGTTTGTGTGCGATCTGAATGCTTTTGACGTGAGACTTTTATTTCTGTCTGCCAGTAACCAATACATTTCAAACTGTGCTATCAGAATAGAAAACAGTGTAAAGAGTGGACCCTTGTGTTAAGGAGTTCATAATGTACTTTAGTATGGATTTTTAAAAAAGTATCTGCTCATGGAAAAGCATCAGTGTAAGACAAGGAAGAAAGCAGATGCAGTTACTAAGATCTTCTGTCACTGTCCCTTGGGCTGTCCCAAGTTATATCCCCACATGCCGGCATTTTTCCAGGCCTCACTTTCTGCTCCTAGAAGCCTCGGCACCATTCCATAGGAAATGCCACGTTCCAGTCCATTCTTGTGTTGATTCTTTGCATAGCACTTACACCTCTTGACCTGTGCTACATTTGCCTTTGGTCTGTGAGCATTGGAATGCAAGCCACGTGAAGCCATGGATTGTGGTTTTTTTTTTTCCCCCCACTGCTACAACTCTTGTGTTTGCTGTAGTGTTGTATACGTAACAGCCACTCCATAGGTATTTATTAAGTGGGTTAATGACTGTGGGCGTTCATTCCCTGATCCAGTGGGGGTGGACAGGCTCTTAAACAAATTAAGTAAGGTGATAGCATGCAGGGGGCAGAAAATAGACTTGCATAGAGGGAAAGACAAGGCTTGAAGTAAGGAAAGAATGTGTGAGCACTAGACCAGTGTTTACCTAGACACTAAAACAGTCTTTTTGAGCAAGAATCAATTGCTTCTTAAACTCTAAAGCCTTTGGGAATTGCTGTAACTTCTGTCACATCTCTCAAGGCCTTAATTTTATGTTAATTTTAAATCATGACTTAAAATTATGTTCAAAATTCTTTCCCAACCTCTGTGGTAGTGTTTTAGGCCAGAAATATCTATAGTCACCTTATGCCTTGTGGATGGCCATAGTATTCCTTCCTTTGTTCCCTGCAATTATGACACCCTAGAGTAACGCCAAATGATCTCTGGAGATTAAAGTCACCCCCAGTTAGAACTATGGTCTAAAGGAAGTTTATTGTAAAGGGTTGCTAGGGTGCATTGATTTACAGTTTGAATGTTTAAGATTGTTGTCTTGACTTTGTTAGCTTTTTAAAGTAATTTGACCTACCAGCATAACGATTTGCTTGACTACGTTCACAGAGTTTGTGAAGATCTAGGAATATAAGAACTTTCACATAGGTCAAATCTGGGAGAGGTACAGCCTGGGAAGTTAGTGTCATGCAGTGGTTTTGAGAGCTCGGTTGGAATGCTTTCCTTGTTCATGTTAACCCCACAAGTCAGGATGGACCTTAAAACCTCTCAATAAAGTCAGTTATGGATTTCTTATGTATTAATTTATGTGACTTATTTCAAAGTTCCTCTTGAACTTACACCACGTTTTGTAGCAATGAATTCCAGAATTCTCTATATACTCTGAGCCTATGTGAAGTAGTTTTTTTTCTTTCCTTCAAAAATTCATCTGTAGTAAAACATTAACCACTTACATATTCAAGTTTATTTGGACATCTTTGTCCGTGCATTACCAGAATTTGTCCTTTTAATTTCATCTTTCTGATTGCTCTGCTGTTTTATGACTTTGAATTTTATTTGTGAAACAGCATATATTTTAAAATATTAGAGGTAAAAGAAAGTTTAGCAATCATATAGTATACTCTTATTATTTACAAACAGGAAAACTAGCCTTTTCTAGACCTTCAAGGTATGCCGGTATTTATAAACTATACTAGTGCTCTGGTCCAATAGCGAACCACTTTATTCCTCTCCAGTCAGCATAGGCAAATGCCCTGGCTGGGGAGAAAGAGAATGTTTGTGGGCACACAAGAGAATTGGTTTGATTTCACAAAACCATCTGAGGTCTGCAAACTGCATTTTTCCTAGAATAATAAGAATATGTTTCATTTGTACCATGCTTTTTGAGTTTCATAGTAATTGGGTAAAAATATTTTCCATTGTGTTAGAACGAACAATTTTAACATCTGATTGGTGTTTGGTCCACAGAGTAATCACTGACTTTGAATGTCTGCAATATCACTGAACAGCACCTTTTAGGTAGGAACGTAAATTTCTATGTACAATGGACTGCAAGCTAACGATGTTCATCAAATCTTTTCCCTTGTTCAGGGGGATCGCATGTGGCACTTCGCAGTGTCCGTGTTTCTGGTTGAGCTCTACGGAAACAGTCTCCTTCTGACTGCGGTGTATGGGCTGGTGGTGGCGGGGTCGGTACTGGTCCTGGGAGCCATCATCGGTGATTGGGTGGATAAGAACGCCAGACTGAAAGGTGAGTGGGTTCTCTAGGTAAGTTCCCACATTCATGGGAACACCCCCTGAGCGCTGTCTGGATCAGAGAAAACAAACTGAGACAAGCCACAGTGCAACCCTGTTTTCATGCCACTCCTGAGGGAGGGGACTTTTCTCTGGATTCAGGATCCTGGGCTTTCTTGCACATACTTGGAATGCTAGAATATTGACCTATAGATTTGGCAGGGGGGTGGCAGTTCATAAATTTCAGATGTTAATGATTAATTCCATAGCCCTTTTTCTGGGAACCATGTTAAACATTAAACGTTTGCTTAATACTAGCTCCCTTCCTAATCAAGACGTGCGCTGGGATTCCATTAATGTGACATTCTTGGGACAGCTTTAGCATCTGTGCTCTGAGTTACTGTATTTCATATGAAGATGTGTATGAGGGCGGTGAAATATAAATATTGATTCAGAGGAAAAGAGTTGAGTTTGAATCATAGAAAACCAAATCACAAAATTTTTAAAGGAAAAGAAGAAATAATGTATTAGTATTATTATGGACCAGAACATTAACCATTTCATACAGCAGAGACAGAAATCAAGGAATTCAGTTATTTAGAAAATGAAAGCACTATGGATAGTCATTCAGGGTAAAATTTTCTTGAATTATTCAGTTGATGATTCCTGGCCCTGTCTGTCTTAGCTGCAGGAAAAGACAGAGACATCATCAGTTTCTTTCAATCCAGATAATTGCTTTTAGATGCACAAAAGCAGGATTTTCAGATTGCAGGACCTGATACTACTAATAAAATGGTCAAGATGCCAATTTTTTCTGTTTTGAGAATGAATAGACTAGAACACACTTGGGAAAAAAAATTCTGTATCCTAGGGGAAAAAAACCTCATTATTTACATTGTTATTCTGAGGAAAATAAGAATATTGCACATAGAACCCTTTAATCTTATAATTACAGAGCACTGAAATCATAGCTGAGGGTAAATGCTGAATGGAGGAAGGAGAGTGTGGTAGGGTAGCAGCCTCCCTCCTGTCCTGTGTCACCCACTCCTGTGTTGTCTCTTGTCATGAAAAATCTTCTCTGCCGTCTCTAGGCTGAGTTTTTCATTTCTTTCTCTGTGCTTCCATAAGGATGTGCTTGTCTGCTTTTGTACCTACATGGCTAGAATTATCTGTTCACGTGACTTTTCCTTTTCTGGCTGTGAGATCATGAAAGCTAAGAACTTCATTCATTTCATATTTAATGCTTATACAGTAGATGCATGGCTGAGTTATATGTTGATATTTCAGATTAATTCCAGAGAGCATTTGATTTGGTTTTGAGTCTTCCATATGACCTGCCAAGCCAGGACGAGCTTCTCTATCCTGGATAACAAGAGCTGTAATTACATGTTACGTGTGTCAGAGTGTCTGCATAAACATTTTATTTGAACACCATTCTGACTCCATAAGTGAGGGAGGCATTACGATCCCATCTTCTAGACATAAGCGTGAGACGTTGAGTGTCCTTCCCCCGACCATCTGCCTGCCTAGTGAGTGGGACAGAAGAGACTACCAGGTGACCTTACCTGGCCACCTGCTGGCGTTGGATTCTGTATAAGGGCCTCATTTTAAGAGAGTTGGTATGGTGAGAGAGAGTGTGTGTGTACATGTGTGTGTGATGGAAGGTATAGCTTAGAATTTCACAGTAAAGAAAAATAGCATCAACACGTCCACTACTGCTTTATTCCTGGGAAAATTTTGCCTGTTTTTCCTATTTGTCCCATTTTATCAGAGTAAGCTGGCATGCAAGAGATTATGAGTGTTTTATCAACATGTCAATAACCTCCTACATATTCTTGTTTTAGCTTATGTAACAAAGGGCTGAGAGCTAGATCTTATCTATATAATAGTTCTGTTTGTGGCAGTATACTTGAAGAAAATCATACAAATGTAGTTATTGTAAAAGACTTCAACTACCAGAAAAAAAATATTTCATTTGCAGATTTCACCAGTCTGCTGTGACCTGCTGGGTTGTACTGAGTGATTGAGGTGAAATTTACTTTGGGAAGGTTTCCTTATTCTGTGATGGTGTGTATGCATTCATGTAGTAGAGTAATGATGTGTGGATAAAAGCAGCCTGAGATTGTCGGTGTAGTGAAACCCTCCTTCTTCCTCTGTTCAGTGGCCCAGACTTCCCTGGTGGTACAGAATGTTTCAGTCATCGTGTGTGGAATCATCCTGATGATGGTTTTCTTACATAAAAATGAGCTCCTGACCATGTACCACGGATGGGTCCTTGTAAGTGCTTGACGAGATTCTTTTCTGTTTTATTTTATTTAAATTTGTATTGGTGCACGTTTGCAGTACATGATGATCTCATTTCTCGTGCCGGGTACATAATGCATCTTTATTCTTTTGACTTCTTTTTCTCCTCCACTCCCTAGCCCTGCCTTTCATCTCTTAGTCCTCTTCCCATTTGCAAATGATCTATCTCTCTCTCTTTCCTATTGTCTGTCTTGTATTCTCTCCTTGAATTATTTATGCTTTGGATTTCTCTTAGAAGAGAAACCACACAATATTTAATCTCATGTATCTGCCTTATTTCACTTGACATTTTCATCTCAAGGTACATTCATTTTCCTCCAAATGACTCACATTTATTCACTGAGATTCTTGAAGTTAGAAAATTGACTATCTGGTAGAGATAACAATGAAAAGCTTTTGAAGCCATAGAACGTTTGTTTCTTTTGCAAATATGACACTTTAATAATTGATTTCTCTGACCACCATCATATCCCTGATAGTTTATTGTTGCTTTTCCTGTAGCAGATATTCATTAAGTATTGAGTTTAAATTTTGTCTCATTGCTTTTTGACATTTCTAAGAATATATGATTTAATTCAGTTGTTAATTTTCAGCTAGTTTTATTCTGTAAATTAATCACATTATGCAAGAAATGTCCATATACTCTGTCTATATTAACCAGCTATTGTTGTAGTCCGCCAATAGTAATTGCTACTTCTGTTTGGGAATATCAACTATATTCCCACATGGGAAAGAGGAGAGTGGTGAGAAGAGTGGAAAACAATGAATTGGTTTCACTCTTGAATCATCTTATATATATTCAGGTTGAGATTACAGAGTTTCAAGGCTAGGCAGGACATTATGAAATCTCCAAGTCTAACCCCTTCATTTTGCTGATGGCAAAACTAAGACAAAATGAGGTTTGTTGATTTTCCATTATTGTGCAAGTAGAAAGGGTCAGAACTCTGACTTAAACACAGGTCTTTTTCTTTCTCCTTCCTTATCTTTTCAGTGGAGATGTGTGTGGGAAAAATGTTAAAAACACCACCACATTACCATTTTCTGATAACTGTGTCACATATATATTCATGTGATTATTATAATTTTATGTTATATGTAGTACAGATGTTGCAGGTTAGGGTGGTAGCATGCCCTTTAATTTGACGACTGGTACTTGTTTCATGTATTCAAGGGAAAATGATTTCTTGTATATGAAGTAAAGTTAAAAATTTACCATTTTGTAAGAAAGCCAGTTTTAAGTTACCTTGAATAGTAAAGCACATATAATGCAATAAACTGACATTTTAACTCAATTTTTTTCCCATAATTCTTTAGACTTCCTGCTATATCATGATCATCACTATTGCAAATATTGCAAATTTGGCCAGTACTGCTACAGCGATAACAATCCAGAGGGACTGGATCGTTGTTGTTGCAGGAGAGGATAGAAGCAAATTAGCAGGTAATTGGGTTTTCTTTTTCAACTAAATTAATGTTAGGATTTACTTTAAATCAGTGGCAGTAAATGAGGCCAAAACCCTTTTTATTATTCTGAGTATATTTTAACAATACGTTGAAAGCATATTTTCTTTCCTGTCAGTCCTACTGCTAAGATTTATCTGTTATATGAGAGTAGAAGAACATCACTTTTGAAATTTTTCCTTTCCTTTCTAAAAATTCTTGCAGCTGTTACTACATATTTATTTAATACTTGCAACAGTGAAAACCAGCATGATATTTTGCATGGATATATGTACTGTATTTGAGGATCACACTTTGGGTATTATTTTCCTCCAAATGGAAACAACACAATAAGAGTGGTTAGTTCCTCCTACTTTAGAGTTACAATGTGTAACTTTTATTGCATTATATAGAATGTGATATAATTATGTTAAAAAAATCCCCTAAAAATAGAGGCCAGAGTGCAGTTTTTAAGATGCTTGCAAATCACTGGAAACCCACACAAGTAGCCAACCAAGGAATGGGGAATGTTTACAGAGCGGCTGTGTCCTGTTACATCACCCCCAGCGTGGGTTCCCCGTGGGCTCCCTCACTTGAGCCTCTTCACCTTCTCCGCATATGACACACAGACACAAAGTGGATGGACATCTTCCTAGGGTCAAGCAGGAAGGGTGCACCTGCGTGGGGGCAGATCAGCTGAGTGAACTCTGCCGGTCATTAAGGTCATGAGAATAGGAACCACATTGCTCAGCCATTCTGGCAGAGGAGAAAATCATTCCTGATGACTGAAGTTACTTAGCCAAGGCACGGAAGGCAGAATTATGTGCAGGGGTTCACATGCAGCTTTGTTTGCCTGGACCCTGTGGTTCAGAAAAGGAAAGGAGGTGGCGACGGAAAGAGATCGAGGTCTGTGGCAGGCCTGGAAGAACTATGTGCTTCAGTCGTCCTGTTCTGTTATGGTGGCAGGGTTGTAATCCGGATAGAAATACCACACTGACTTTAGAGGAGAGGCCGTACAGCAGCTGCGAGTCTGGACTGTCGGAAATTCTCACTGGCATTTCTTTCTTTGATTATTTAGAAGAATAATTCTGCATCTTTTTTTGGTAGACTGAAGAAGAGATAAGGCTTGTTTACTTTCTTTTTTAAACATTAAGCATGAAAAAAATATGTCCTTGTTTTAAAATTCAGAGGGTACAAAAGGATATAGTTTGAAAACAGACCACATGTATATTTGTTAGAATATATTTGGGGAAAAGTTTGTTTTGTTCTCTTTTCTGGATTTCCTTTATTTATTTATTTGTTTGTGGTACCAGGGATCAGACTTGACCTCACACTTGCCAGGCAGGTGCTTATGCCGCTGAGCTAAACCCCAACCCCTTGGATTTCTTAACTCATTTTGAGTCTTTTAAGTCTATTGTAAAATTCTACTCATACTGTATTCTGTAAAATAGCTTTGTTAAAGCGAAAGTTACTCAAAATTTTTAACTGATCTTACTACCTACACATAAATTAAAAGAATTAAAAGAACTTTCCTTTCTGATTATAACTTATGTCCCAGAACAGCAAAAACTCTGTCGTTTCTAGCTGTCCCTCTTTATATTATGAATTATTGCAGAGTTGAACTGTTAAGCCAAGCAGCCTATTTTCTAAGCTTCAGGAGTTTTCAAGCTTAAGAAAGGAAGTGAGCTGTCTGCTGAACTCTGGCCCACTCCAAGTTAACTTTTCCTAAGCAGCGGCTTTCCTATCCATCAGCAGCAAGGGTTAGGAGACCAGCAAGGAAAACATTCCTGTTTTCTTTCCTGTAGCATTTGTGTTCATTAAACACTATGTTGCAAAACAATACAGAAACTTTTTTTTGGTTCTGAGGGTCAGCAAATGTCTATCTGTGGAATTTGCTGTCATTTCTGCTCAAGGGAGGTTAGAGGAGAACAGGGAGAAAGAAAGCAGACAAAGGAAAAATAGAAGAGAAAAAGGAAAAAAATAGTCTTGGGTTCCTTTGGGATCTTGGAGGCTGTTTCCATCCCTACAGGGACGCCCCTGTCCAGTGGGGAGTGATGTGTGCTTATGCTGGCTGATTTACGTTGACATTGCTAGAAGTGAGTTAGGAACCCAGGTTAGGGAACTGCGTGGCAAAGGCTTCACCTGGGTGTTCTGGGTGCCTGTGTAGGGGCAAAAGGTGTGAAAATAGGGAACAGAGATTATGAGCTGGAGGCTGATTGCTCCCACTTTCCCTTATCCTCCATTTCTTAATTTCACAGATAATTTTAAAATTGGAAGCTGCATTACGGAGGGTAAAGAACAGGAGTTAATTTTCCTTGGCAAGGTTAGGATTTCAGACCAAAATTCAGCTCTTGCCCTCTCATTTGGAATGCTCCAAGAAAAATATTTTTAAAAACATAAATACTGTTAACTCATCTGTTCCATGAGATAGGTGCTTTCCAGGTATTTGGTGTAATACTGTAATAAAGCATTCACTTTTACCATCTGGTCCATCTAACCTACTTGAAATTCACTCCTTTCCCAGACTTTTTGCTCAGTTTGTTGCTTTATTTCCTTCCCTGTCTCCTTTATGGAGCACTTCATTGATAGCTTGGGAGGATCTCTTGCCAGAGATTCTAAAGTAAAGTCTACTTGTTAGTTCTGATCCAGTGTAGCAGTGACTCTCAGGTCTGAGTTCTGTTGATTAAAATTGGTTTCATGTTTGAAGCAGACAGACCTGTTTGCTACTATTTCCTCAACAGAGCCTTAAAAAAGTCCTTCTATGAGATGTAATGTACCCTTTATAATAAAGGTCATTATTCATGTCATGGTCTGTTGTAGTTATAGTTAAAACAGAACCAAATGAGGACATGTTTATGTTCATATGAAAATAAGTGTGACGTTGGTAAAGAGAAAGCTTGCACATTCAGAAGTCTGATATGTGTTTGTGTGCATGTATGCATGTGCATGTATGCAGGGCTTTGTACTTGCTAAGTACGTATGATACTACTAAGTTTCATCCCCAGCCCAGAAGAGGGATTCTGTTGCAGGCTATTACCAGGAAAATGATTAAGTCTTTTTATTAAAAAATTTTTAAAACTTTTCTGCTTCAGAAAAAAGAAAGCTTATTTCTGATACCATACTGACATCTAAACATTACTAACTTCCTAATCGTCATATATAAGCAGAAATGGTGACTTTGGGAAGCTCCACAAGTACTTGAAAACTGAGAGAATAAAAGAATAATAACTTTAAAATGATTTTTGTTGTTGTTCTGTGGCTTTAAGACTTAAGTTTTCCTTTGTTACTTTCCACTCCAGTGATTGACCTATTTGGATGTATTCCACTCTTCTCCATTGGCATCTGCTCTGGGAACTTGTTGGAGGGGAGCAGATGGATGTTTGCAAAGCATCTGCAGAGACAGTCGCATGTCACATTGTGACTGCTGCCTTTGCTTTCCAAGTGAAGGGTGATGTCTCAGAGTAACCATGCTATAGCACTGAGAATGGTGTCTGACTTATTTAATAAGCCTTAATAAAAATGAAGAGTCACTGTCGTGTTCATTTATAAGTTGATGCTAGACTAATTTCTAGAGTATCAAAGGAAACCAAACTTCAGAGGAAATTTTGTTTCCCAAACAATAAATGTTTCTGTAGCACATGTTTGCTCACAGAGTGCTTTTAGAAATCTACATTTGAGCAGCTTGTGCTCTTGGCTTATCCCCATGGCGATCTTTCTTTGATGGGCTTGAATTCCTACCTGCCTCTTCCCCTTCCCCTGCAGATATGAACGCTACCATACGAAGGATTGACCAGTTAACCAACATCTTGGCCCCCATGGCTGTGGGTCAGATCATGACATTTGGGTCCCCAGTCATTGGCTGTGGCTTCATCTCAGGATGGAATTTAATGTCTATGTGTATGGAGTACTTCCTGCTCTGGAAGGTCTACCAGAAAACCCCTGCACTGGCTGTGAAAGCAGCCCTTAAAGTAGAGGAGGCTGAATTGAAACAGCTGAATGTACCCAAAGGTAATTGAACACAGTGACCAGTCCTTCAGTTCAGACTTTAAATGTTGGTGAAGAGCAGAACAATGTTGGATTTGTATGAGATTCAATTTTCAGTGAAGAATGGGATGGGTTCGATACATCATTTTGGGTGGAGGCAAAAGCAGACTTTTGGGGTTCTAGGGGACAATTCTGGGTTGGAGCTGAAGGGCTTGGAATGGGATCCCTGACTTTTGATGTGAGCACTAGACATAAGCAGTTAGCTGAGCATTGCCTGGGCCAAATGAGTCATAAAAATGGTAAGATGATGGGAGAAAAATAGAACAAGAGAATTCTTTGGAGCGTTGGAGAATTTGCAGGATGGTGGAAGGCAGTGAAAACAATGAGAGAAGCACTTCCCAGCAGCAGAGGAAGTTCGGCTTCAGGTAATTGGGATCTTCACAGATCTTAAGGTTCTTTGTTATCCCAGACCACTGAAGTATTGATGTGATGCGTCTTCCTGCTAGTCACTTCAGAGAGAGAATATAATTTCTGAGAGAAAAAGAGAGATCAGTATAATATTGTCTAACAGAATTGATTCTGAGGAGTCATTCTGTGGCTGGATTTCCTAGAGAATTTAGTCATGTAGTAACCAAGGGTACCCATAGAAGAGGGGGACAGGAGATAATTGGAAAATGGCTTTTCTCCCCATACCTGTCCCCACCCCAAATAATGATATATTTTATTAACAGATACTGAGCCAAAACCCGTGGAGGGAACTCATCTAATGGGCGAGAAAGAGCCCAACATCCAAGAACTTGCACCCAAGCAAGAGCCCACCTGTGCCTCCCAGATCACCGAGCCCTTCCGTACCTTCCGAGACGGATGGGTCTCCTACTACAACCAACCAGTGTTCCTGGCGGGCATGGGCCTCGCTTTCCTTTATATGACTGTCCTGGGCTTTGACTGCATCACCACCGGCTACGCCTACACCCAGGGGCTGAGCGGGGCGGTCCTGAGCATCCTCATGGGCGCCTCGGCCATCACTGGGATAATGGGGACTGTGGCTTTCACCTGGCTGCGCCGCCGCTGTGGGCTGGTTCGGACCGGTCTGATCTCAGGCTGGGCCCAGCTGTCTTGTCTTATCCTGTGCGTGATCTCTGTGTTCATGCCCGGAAGCCCCTTGGACTTGTCCGTTTCTCCTTTTGAAGATATTCGTTCTAGGTTCGTCCAAGGAGAGCCGATGTCCACCACCACCGGAATACCTGACACCATCTTCACCCCCGAGGTGCACACGTCCAACGGGTCTGACGCTGGCCATGCCGTCCTGGAGATGAGTACCAAGCCCGTGCCCATCATCTCCGTCAGCCTGCTCTTCGCAGGCGTCATTGCTGCTAGAATCGGTGAGGAGTGATTTCTTATTTATGGTCATGAAATTGAGCCATTTGGGAAGTGAATACAGGGACTTCATCCATAGGTGATCTGAAATATTTCTTGGATCCTAATATAATCAAAATCCATTGTTTATATATAAACTCTAGTCTTCCAACATGAGATTTTTAGTATAGACAGTGCTGGGAAATCCAGCACATTTTCTATGCAGTTGAAGCTGGGGCTTTGAGGATGTTAGGCAGGCACTTTATCACTGAGCTACACCTCCAACCCTTAACTATTACTTTTTTTAAAATGCAATTTAAAAATATATTTTAAAAATGGTAGGTGTAATAATTATACTGCTATCTAATAGTTTAGAGGTTTTGTATTGCTATAAGTCTACTATAAATCTATATAGAAACTTGTGTGAGATAACATAAAACAGTGTTTTTTTTTTTTTTTTTTTTGCTCGTTGTTGTTGTTATTATTATTTTGAGGCAGGGTCTCACTATGTAGTTCAGGCTGGCCTTGAACTCACCGTGTAGCTAAGGCTGCTCCAGAACTCACATCAGTCCTCCTGCCTCAGCCTCCTGAGTGTTGGGATTCTAGGCATGCACCACCATGTGTGGCTTTTCTTTGATCTTTGAAAGGCATGTCAGTTATTAAAAGCATCCTTCAAAAGTCCTCTCTAGCTGACGTGTGCTTATTACATTGCCTCACAAATGGGTTTTATAGTTCTGGAAGAAATGTAAAGACTTCTTAAAAGCAAAATTTGTGTAATCATTAATGGAGTGCTGATGGACTGACTGTGTTCTTAAACATAAAACCATTTTTATCTTGTGATAAAAAGTAGTTCATTAATTTATCAAAGTCATTAATATTCAAGCAAGACAGATTTATTGTTAGTGCGTTAGAACCCAAGCAATAAATGTAACCCAATGGTTTAAAGTTTCCTTACACTTTAACCATAACAACGTACGAGGTCATTTTAAACTTTAAAAGTATTTAGTATTTATGGGACTTGACATCTCTGATTTCAGAGCTTTGCTTTTGTAGTATGAGTGATCAGAAAAATAGAACTAAACTTACAGATTAGTTTTATTTTAGTCTGTATAAAAATAATTTCTTAAAGCAATGAATAACCCATAATTAATGAAAAGAAGGCAAAACTTCAAGGCAAAGCTATGATTGGTATTTTAGCTGCAAAATAACTTAAAAGCTAGAGGGCTGAAACATATTTTTTGCATATGTCAACCAATTTTACCTATAACCTGAAATGTATGACTATAAATTGAGTCTTCACAAAAATTCAGTCTTTACAAAAGTATGTTTTATTGTACAGGTCTTTGGGCCTTTGATTTAACTGTGACACAGTTGCTGCAAGAGAATGTAATTGAGTCTGAAAGAGGCATTATAAACGGTGTACAGAACTCCATGAACTACCTTCTGGATCTCCTGCACTTCATCATGGTCATCCTGGCTCCGAACCCCGAAGCATTTGGCTTGCTCGTGTTAATTTCAGTCTCCTTTGTGGCGATGGGCCACGTTATGTATTTCCGATTTGCCCACAAAACTCTGGGCAACCAGCTCTTTGTTTGTGGTTCTCCAGAAAAAGAAGTTTCAGATGAAAATCAAACCAATACATCTTCTGTGTGAGGCAGGTTAGCTGTGGCCATCCCTGTTACTAGATAATCTCAAGCGTATATGCTTATTTTGTGCTTCAGGTTTCTAATAAATGCCTGGGTGTTTCTCTCTGGTTTTACCACAGCTTTGTCTGAGAGGCTAAGAGCTAGTAGGAAATCTAAATCAGCACAATGAGCGGGTGTGTTTCCCTCACATTTAGATACGGAAAAGAAAAAGAAAAGAAAATGTTTAAGTATAGGGAGACTAGAATGGTTAAAGTGAACTTTCCTGTTCTTCTGAGTAGATGAGATTTTTGTAAACAATGGTTAAACATGAATTAAGTTATTGTTTGGCAGATATTTATTATCTGTGCTAGAATTCAGGTAAGTCAGTTTTCCCTACAACTCAATTCTATTCAAACCTGGCTAATTGACTTGTTTAATGTCTTACTTACCAGTTACATTATAAAAACAAGTTCTCCAAATATGAAGATTACTGTTTGATAACCAGTATTACCCTTATTGATCTTATTGATCTTCAAGGATTTGATGTATGGAAAAATGAAACACTTAGCTAGAATTCTCTAATAATGTTTATGGTTTAACTTCAGAGAGCACTTTTATATTTTTATCAAATGGGCAAAATATTGTATTAAGCATATGTAACTTCATGAAATGGCTATCAGAAAAGCTACTGGTAGAAGCAAAGCTGTAGTGTAGTTTTACAAAGCAGTGAATGGGCAGAGAGTTTAAAGCTGTCAGTAGTTCGGCCAGAGAAGCTAGAAGCTAAACGCTAAACACAGGCGTGAGAGCCTAAATTGATCCGTGCCAATCTCATTCATATTGTCTCTCTTATTCTATGGGAGAGCGGCCCTCATACAGAAAGGAGCCCATACTTGGGAAGGTTTTGTTCTAGAAATCCTTTGAATTACTTTTCTGCATGCTCGAGCAGGACACTGACTTTTACTGGTTTATGCCAGATGTTATCTGTACCTTGTTCTAGAGCGAGAATTGTGGAAAAGTTTCCCTTTTAAATCTCTTTGTAAACAATAAACCAAAAAATCTTTGTACCTGTTTTTTAAAAAAAACAACAACTGGATTCCAGGTCCTTTCACAAAATGCCAGTACCAGCAGGGTACCTTGCCTTAACCTTTCATGCACTTTCATGGAGACTGCAATACATCGCTGTGTGCACTTTCCTCAGCCTCGGTGTTTATTCTTCATCTTTCTACATATGACGTAATGAGTTGCCATGTTGTAAAATCTTTGTAAAATATTTCTATATAAAAATATTTTTAAAAACTTAAGTTTCTTTTTCACTGAATCGTGTTCTCCAATTACTTAATATATTGCTTGTTGTCACAGAACATCTGTTTTGGATAATGTGTTGCATTTTATAAAGGGCTACAGTTTCGTAATTTGTGTTTTTAGTTTACAGTGGCCTGGATAAAAGTGCAGTAAACCTGGGGCCCAGCAGTTATTCTTTGACCCTGAGTAAGTCACATGAAGCTCTAAGTTCTATTTTCCCTTCTATAAATTGGAGAGGAGCAATAAAAAATCCTCCATACCTTACAACTTCCCTGTTCTCAAATGAGCAGAGTCCTGTGGAAGCATTTTCAAGCTGCAAGTCTACAGTTGTAGTATTACTAGAGCTGGAAGCTGGGCAGTAACAGGGTGTCTGATACTCCCGAGAGAGTAGAGCCACGTTCTGTATGCAACAAGCGGACACTGAAGACCTGATGTGTGCAGATGCAGACAGGACTCAGACACTGTTGATCTGGGTCCCCCTCTCCTTTCCCTGCACTTGGCAGCTTGTAAACTTTGGCATCATCCTGCAGCTGCTGACCAGCTTGTTGCGACTGCACGAACAGCAGCTGCTCCTGTCAGGCTTTGTGTGATCTTGAACAGGCCTCTGCTCCTTCCCACAGCACTCAGATTAGGGGTGCAGAGCAGCCTTGAGTGTTCCCAGCAAAGGTCTGCAACCCTTGTGAAATGAACAGAAAGAGGCAAAGCAAGGCTTCAGTCCTTAGTAAGGGACCTTGGTCTGACTGTGGGCCAACAGGGAGAGGCCCTGTGTGGGAGGAGAGAGCACAGAGCTGGCCAGTTAGTGAGAATTTTTCGGGTGAGGGAAATGGAGAATCACCGCTGGTCTGCACAGACTTTGGTGTGTACTGCACAATGACTGGGTGGGGAGACAAAGTCAGCTACCTACAGCCTCAGGTCAGAGAGATGGATGCAGTGCTTTAGAAACAGGAAAACAACCCTCCTTTGTAGTATATGATTACATTAAAAGAAATAGGGTCTACGAGGTTCCAGTTGGCCTTGACCTCACTATGTAGCCCATGCCGCCCTTGACCTTGCTGTGATGCTTCTGCCTCAGCCCCCCAAGTGCTGGGATCGCAGGCGTGTATCACTACACCATATAATTACATTTTTGAAAGCATCACTCATTGCATTTTTCCATGTTCTTTTCTGTGTGAGGTTCTTACTGTGGTTAAGTAGGTTCTTTCAACATAAATTCTGTTTGTTTCTATATTAATCATGGGGAAGAAATCTTCATTGCCAAAGAAATATGCCCACCTCATTCTACCCCAACACCTGACTTACTTGATATTCCATTTTTTGTCCTCTACTATTTGCACAAGAAAGAAGTTACTTTCTTGATCATTATAAGACAAAAACAAGGAAAGAAAGAAAGAAAGAAAGAAAGAAAGAAAGAAAGAAAGAAAGAGAAAGTGGAAAAGGTGCCTGGCATCAGAAGCCTGCTGGGAGCAGGTAGTGTGGGGTGGCCACTGCTGGTGAGCTGGAGACCCAGCATCCAGGCCAACGCGTAGTTAGGGAAGCATTTGCTATCTTGAAAGTGAACCCTGTGTCACCAGATGTTCTGATTTTTCAAGAGAAACTGGGAATCTGGAAGTCTGTGGGACATGTCCATTTCTGGAATACCAGAATCTAACTTAAAAATGCTAAAAATACTTTGCTAAAAAAGGCATCTGTGAGCTACTTTTGAACCACCCATGGGCTGCTCTGATTGATTGATTTTTAAACTTAAAAAAGGGTGGTTTATAACAAGGGAAAGGTATTTGGTTATAGCTGGTAAGTGTGGGAAGAAAAAAGCATTTGCGCAAGATGTGCAAAGTCAGGAGAACAACAAACAACAAGGCAAACATTTGTGATGAAAACTTGTAAACTATTAGGCATCCTTTATCAGAGGTCACTTTAGGTCAATCTTTGCATTTAAAAATGCCATACTTATGTCTGGAAATTTTGCCACATAGCTCCTTTATCCCAGATACATATGTTTCTTTTTGTTTCTTTTTTGAGACAGGGTCTCACTCCGTAGTTCAGGCTGGTCTTGAACTCACTATGTAGCCTAGGCTGCCATTGAGCTTGTGGCAATCCTTTGCCTCAGCTTCCTGAGTGCTGGGATTATGGATGTGTGGCACCATGCACCGCTGATTGACATGGATTTCAATCAATTCTAAGGAAGTTTATCGTAAGTCATACTTGCACTAAGACCGATGTAGTCATTAAAATCTTTATAAAGTTATGTGACAGGGATGTAGTTACCATACAAATTGCCTTTGATATATTTATCATAAGTAAAAACAAGTTTAAACAAAAATTCTTTTTCAACCAAGACTAAAAAACAAAACAAAATGAAAACCAAAACCTCCTGCAAAACCCAAAATATTGGGTTTTACCTTTCCTCATCAAATGATATTTAAGCTCTTGATAGCTTCGGTTAAACGTTGTTCCTTTGTTCCTACCGTCTGCTTTTTTTTTCTTGATCTTTGCTATCAGAGTATTTTTGTTTTACAAGATAGCGATTCAGGAACAAAGTTGGAATGTTAGAGTTGGAATGTGACAACTCATAAGCATTTATCGCAAGTCTGAACTGATGAGTTTGTCATGCTTTAAAAGTTAAATGACTTTTTCCCTTTATATGGAGACTTGTGTAGATTTTCTAGGTTCAAAAGGAAGCAAGTATTTTATCTAAAGTATGGGCAAATGGGAGATCAAAGTACAAGTAAGTGCTTTTGTCCACATTCTTCACTGTGGCCTCTGTGTGAGTATGTGTTTTTCTATTTGCACATTTCCCTCATTGCCTTTTACCAAGAGAAAAGTGCACTGCAAATTTCTTGAAATTGTTATGTTCAAAATAGTTGTGTTGCCTTAGATGGTGCTAGTCCTTAATTCATGTATGAAGTGATAGCAACTAATACCAGTTAATTTAATTACAGATTGACAATATAAAAGGATAGATGTTTTACAGTGACTATAATGCTTCAAGAGAAATTCATATTTTGAAGAACTTTTTAATGTCTTTTAATAAATTATTACTAATAAGCAGGACATATGGCATTTAAACACATGCCTAAAGGAATATTTGAGCTTAATATAGATGTTCTAGAAAGATGGTTGTCCAAAGACTGATTTGAGTTATTTTTAGTGAACTGTATTTGCCAAATAGACATATACTTTCTTATTTGTTAAAGTATATAAAAGATATAGTCGAAGAATCAATATTCAAACATCAATTATTTGTTGCTACTTTACTAATTTACTTATCATCACTCAAGAACATACTGGGGGCCATTCGCAGGAGGCTGCAGGGAGGAGAACAAGAAGCCAGACACTTCCTGTGGGTCAGCGCCATGCGCAGACTGCAGTGAGAGCAGCCAGACACCTGCCCCTCCCAGTGCAAAGCTGGGAGACAGGAGGAGCCAGGGGACCCCCCACCCCAGCATCCCCGGTGAGTGCTGGCTGATCTGGAGGAACACAGGCTGAGATGATAGCTACTGAAGTGAAATACAGTGTGGTGCTAATAGTCTTTAGTGTTTCTTTGACTTTGCAGGCCTAGGGCCGGTAGTCTGATCATGCATTCAGTAGGGGGATCTCCTTCTGAACGTGGTAGTCATTGTTAGTTCCCTATTGTCTTGTTTTAAGGTCCTGTATCATTTTCCCTGGTTTGTTTTTATTCTATGTTGTCTTGTTTGATTTTATTGTGTCTGGTGGTATGGGCAGCTACTTCAAAGATAACAAGATATGTTATGGTTGCTATCTGGGATTTACTGTGGTAGTTATCTTGGATTGTTTTGTTTTTATTGGTTCTAGTCTGTTGTGTTTTGTTCGATTTTCCTATGTCTGATGGTATAGGCAGCTATTCTGAAGACCACAGTAGGCATTATGGTAGCCATTGGTGATTTCCTATTATCTTGTTTTAGAACCCTGTATTACTTACACTGTTTTGTTTTGCTTGGTTTTATTCTCTTTAAAATAAAAAATTAAATACAAAGAACATAATCGCCCAAGCTTTGTAGATGAGAGACTTAGGATGTCATGTACTTACACAGCTAGTGCGAGAGGGAGCAGATCCTAAAGCCGTCTCTGCCTCCAAAAGCTGCCTTCTTTCCTCCATATCTTACAAGCGCAGCATAAGCTTCTGAGTGAGAAGTGCTGGAAAATCTTTAATAGTCGTGACAGGCCTGTTTATGGTTGAGTGTACTTTACGTTACATGATAAAACTGGCTTATTGAACATTAAGATTTCCAATTGTGTTTTCCAGGAAATCAAAGTTTTCTCAGTCTTCCTGGCTTCCATGCCTTTGTAAAATTCTTTTTTGGCCCCTGAATAACATGCAGCATGCTTTGGGCTTTCCTAATGCCTATATAACATGAGGGATATTGGTAAGAATGGTGGAGAAAACAGTTTATATTTGGCCTTATTGATTACTGGCTTTTGTGCAAATTATTTAACTTTCCTGAACTTCTGTTCTCTAATTTGCACAGTGGTAATATTAACATCTATCTCATGTGGATTAGGGCTCGTCATCAAGTATTGGAGATACAACTTCAATGGTGTTTCTTAAATTCATGAGTTAGAACTGAGAATATTATTTGTTCCCGATGACAGGATATTATTTGTATTTATTTTTGATACCAGGAGTCATACTCAGGACCTCACGCTTGCCAGGCAGGTGCTGTGTCACTGAGCTATATCCTTGGCCTCAGCATATTATTGACACCAGAACCCTAATACAACTGGTCGCAACCAAGGTGAAGCCAGTTTACACTGACAGGTAGAGAAAATAAATGAGGGGAGCAGGCAGGATGTGATATCCAAAATAGCCATGCAGAGCAAGAGCACAGTGCTTCTGACATGATGACATTTGCTGACAGATGACTAACGCAAGTAAATCATTAATCTGGAGGGAGCTCATAGGTCTGGTGGAGCTTGGTTCTCCAGAACAAAGCTTTCCTGTTCTCACACTGGGAGTGGAACTGATTACCTCTGTGCTTTCTGC